ATGGATATACCATAATTTAACTCTTTTTACCTGGCGAAGGACATTTGGGTTGTTTCCAATTCTTGGCTATTATGAATAAAACTACTATAAAGATGTGTAAAGGGTTGGAAGTGCCAAGGGATATGAAATTGGCTACCACATTCTGGGGACCACAGGTGCTTACTGGGTCCATCATTGTTTCTAATGGCTTTTCAGTGGACAGAATTAGAATATACTTTTCGGGACACCTGGGTGGCTCAGTTGGTTAAGTGTCTGCCTTCGGCTGGGGTCATGATCAGGGTCCTGGGACTCCTGAGCAGGGAGCCTGCTTCTCCCTTTCCCTCTGCCTGCTACTCCCCTTGCTTGTGCTCTCTCAAATAAATAAAATCCTTTAAAAAAAGAATTAGGATACTTTTCTTTCTTTCTTCCTTCCTTCCTTTTTTAAAGATCCCATTCATTACGTGTCAGATCACAAACAGGGGGAGGGGCAGACAGAGGGAGAAGCAGGCTCCCCACTGAGCAAGGAGCCTGATGTGAGACTTGATCCTAGGACCCCAGGATCACACCCCAAAGCCGAAGGCAGACGCCTAACCTACTGAGTCACCCAGGCGTCCCTAGAATATACTTTTCAATTAAAAATACAACAGGAGTTCCTAAACTACTTCCTAAATTCAAGACCAAAGGGAATTTGCATAACACCATTGATTTTGTCTGTGTATCTCTTTTCAAGTATGACATAATTCCATTTCTGATATATCAACATAATTATGCTCTACCCTACAAATTTTCACCAGTTCCTAATATGACTACTGAATACAATTTAAGATTTCGAGGCAGGTTTTGTTGTTGTTGTTAAGATTTTATTTATTTGTCAGAGAGAGAGAGAGAGAGTGCGCAAGTGCGCGCGCAGGCGTACAAACAGGGAGAGCGGCAGGCAGAGGGAGAAGCAGACTCACCCCTGAGCAGGAACCCTGAAGTGGGACCCGATCCCCTGACCTTGGGATCATGACCTGAGCTGAAGAAGATGCCCAACCGACTGAGCCACCCTGGTGTCCCCCCCTTTTTTTTAAAGGGGGTTAATTTTGTTCTTAGGGTAGATCTTTGAGAAGTACAGTTAAATTACTGTGTTTTCAAGCCATTCAGAAGAGTTCCCTTCTGTGTAGTTCTGCCATCAACTAGATACACATTCAGGTTCATTTGTTTCATTTTACTTTCAATTTAGGGACTGATTTTTTAAAATTAATTTTTGTCATATAATCATGGAACACATAGGTTTCCAAAGTCAAATACACAAAACAAAGTATATTCAAAGTCTAGCCTCTTTTCTTTTTATTCTGTTCTCTCCTTCTCCTTTTTTTTTTTTTTAAGACTTTATTTATTTATTTGACAGACAGAGATCACAAGTAGACAGGGAGAGAGGGGGAAGCAGGCTCCCTGCTGAGCAGAGAGCCCAATGCGGGGTTCGATCCCAGGACCCTGGGATCATGACCTGAGCCGAAGGCAGAAGCTTAACCCACTGAGCCACCCAGGCGCCCAACCCCCGTTCTCTCCTTCTCAATGTCAGCAACCATTAAAAGTTGTTGTCATACTTCCACTTCTAACCCCCCTCCCCGGAAAGTATTTACATTTGTGTCTTCCTACTCTCACAAATGGACAGTAGAGGGAATTTGCATACTTTCTTATTCCTCTCTTCAGCAGGAAAGCCTGCAGTGTGTCACCCCAGAGATCTTCGGAAACATTCTGTGTGTGTAAAATGAGGGCAGCTGTGCTTTCCACCTGATTTTCCACAGCAGTTTCTGGTAAGATAAAACTTGTGAAAAACTGCAAAGTGGTACACAGACGTGCCTGTTGACTATTAACCCCTTTTGGGGAGAGCCTCAAGAGTCATGCGCCCGACTTAGCACATTTTGCACAAGAGGAAACCGGCGCACAGAACTGAGAGGACCTGCCCGAAGGAACACAGGAAGCGGACAAGCAGTTCAGTCTCCTGCCCTGTCTAGGAGTCCAGAATAAATCCACCGAAACTTTCTTTTTAAAAACTGTATTCAATCTACAGATGCCCATTAAAAAAAAAAAAGATTTTATTTATTTATTTGACAGGGATCACAAGCAGGCAGAGAGGCAGGCAGAGAGCAAGGAGAAAGTAGGCTCCCCGCTGAGCAGGGAACCCGATGCGGGGCTCGATCCCAGGACTCTGGGATCATGACCTGAGCTGAAGGCAGAGGCTTTAACCCGCTGAGCCACCCAAGCGCCCCCAGATACCTATTTTTATAGAGACGAATATTTTAGGGAGCCCTCCACGGGGACAAAGTCACAAAAGGCCCTAAGGCGCAATGAGGCGGTCCTAGCCCGGGCAACCAAGAACGCCCAGAGTCCCTAGAAGGAGCCCGGAGTTGGGCTCTGCGAGCCCCGCGCTCACTCATCCTGGGAAGCTCTACTGGTCCCACTTCTGTCCCAGTCCCGGAACGCCGGGAGACGCTGCGGAAGCACTGACGACGGAGAGCCAACACGGGGCCCCTTGACCTAAAGCTGTCCTGTTTGGCGCCTCGACAGAAGGGACTGACAGACACACTGTGGACTCGAGCAGAAGTCAGGTAAATACCCTGCAGGGTAAAGACGCCGCGTCGAAGTTTCCAAAGGCGAAATGGCCCTCGTGAGGACCCGTAGGGCCTCCACCGGGGGCGGTTCCGAAACTCTGGCTTAGGGGCGGGGCCGAGGTTTTGCGGGCGGAAGCCCGCGGGAGAAAGCGAGCCGAGCAACGGAAATGACGCTTAGTAGCGCCAATGGGATGGCGCGGGGGCTGGTCTTCCCGCCCCATTGGGTAGGGGCAAGCGGTTTCCGGTAGCGGCGTTCGGGAGGGGTGGCGGAGGGGGGCTGGTGGTGGCGAATTCGTGTCCCGTGACCTCCGGCCTCCCGAGACCCTGCATCCCGGCAGCCACACCAAGATGATGGGCTGTGGGGAGGCACAGCTGGAGCTGGTCGAAGGGGAGGAGGCCGTAGCGGCTCCTGGGCCACCCCCAGAACCCCGCGTCCCGGAGCCCAGAGCCCCAGTGCCCGAACCTGGCCTGGACTTGAGCCTGAGCTCGCGGTCCGAGACCCCCGAGCAGCCGAGCGGCTGCCCCGGCCGGCGGAAGGGGCGGGCGGACCGGCGGGGCGGGGCCCGCAAGGGGCGGCAGGTGAGCCGGGGGAAGGTCTGGCCGCCGGCCCGCAGACAAGCCCGCGTCCATCTCTTCACCGTCCCGCTCTCTGCTCCCAGGTCCGCTTTCGCTTGGCGCCGCTCTCCCCCGTGCGGTCCGACCCCACGCCGGCCGCCGCAACACCTAGCGAGAAGCCCGCGGCACCGCAGGACCTGGGGGCGCCCGCGCAGCAGAGCAGCCTGGCATTGAGCCTCGAGTTGCAGGCCGCGCGGGCTGCAGCCGAGGGCCAGTTCGATGCGGCGAAGGCCGTGGAGGAACAGCTGAGAAGGTCGTTCCAGACCCGCTGCGGCCTGGAGGAGAGCGTGGCCGAGGGTGAGAGAGAGAGACGCCCGGCGGGGCGCGGGAAGTGGGGCTGAGAGGCGCCGCTCACCTCCGCTCCCCCTGCGGTCTCAGGGCTGAACGTGCCGCGCTCCAAGCGGCTCTTCCGAGACCTGGTGAGCCTGCAGGTGCCCGAGGAACAGGTTCTAAACGCTGCGCTGAGGGAGAAACTGGCGCTGCTGCCACCGCAGGCCCGAGCCCCGCCCCCAAAGGTGAGGGACCTGGGCTTGTTTCCGTGTCGTGCCCCTATCCCCTTCCCGAGTGTAACCTTGCTTTGGGCTCCACTTCCCAACAGGAGCCACCTGGGTCAGGGCCGGACATGACCATCCTTTGTGACCCAGAAACATTGTTTTATGAGTCTCCACACCTGACCCTGGATGGTCTGCCTCCTCTCCGTCTTCAACTCCGGCCCCGCCCTTCAGAGGATACCTTCCTCATGCACCGGACACTGAGGCGCTGGGAAGCGTAGACGTGGAGGCTCCCTGGATTGCTAGTTAATATTTTTGTGTTAAAACTATTTTTCAGAATAAAATGGTTTTGCTAACAAATGGGACTCTTCTTGGGAGCCTTAAAATGGGGTCAGGCCTCAGGGTGGGAAGCTGTCCGGGAGTCAAGTTTTTGGCCTTTTTGGAACTTGGTAGTGATGGCAGGTTGAGAACACTGTCCCACCTCTTCCCCTGACTTCTGTCATAGAACCACGTTTGTTCCTTTGCAGTACTTTTTTTTTCTTTTTAAGGGAGTGAAAGCATGCCTGAGGGGTCCGGGGAGGAAGATGAGGGGTAGGAGTGCATTGCAAGTGGGTTCCACACTCAATGCTCAGCTGGAAGTAGGACTCCATCCAGGGTCTGAATCTCAACCCACCGAGCCACTCAGGTGCCCCACACTACTTAGTTCTGATCACTGGGACATGTGGGTGGGTCTCTGTTGTATATTTTGGGGAGTCCTTCCCTAATTACCTGGCTCAAGGAGCCGGCAAGACAGCTAGCTATTTGCACCCAGTTATTGAAATTCCTTCCTGCCTTGCCTATCTCGTTTACACCAGATCCAAGAGGGCTTGGTATTTGTTGAATATTCAAGGTTCCAGGAACACTTGAGCTGCTGAAGAGTTTCATGTTAATTGCCCATTCATCCAGTTGCACAGCACAAAAAAGGTGGGTGGGTGGTCCCATCAGTAGTGACTTTCTCTAGGTCCACTTCAGCTCCACTGTTAATTCTTTTAAAGTTAGCCTTCTGTCCAAAGCTCCCACCAAAAAATTGACAGTGGTTTTTTGGGGGGAGGGGAGATGGACTCTTTGCTTCAAGTTTCACATAAAAATTCACTTTATACCCTTCCTTCCTGATTAGAGCTCTCTTTGGTTGTGTGTAGATGTGACTAGCATTCAACACTCAGTCTTCCCAACCACCGAAAAATCTGTCTTCTTGAGACTCCAGTTTGGGCAGAGGAAGCACAGGTTCTAACAGGAGGCACCATCCCTTCCCCACTAGATAGAAACCGCCAGACACAAGTGTGGGGGCTGCTGCCCTAAACATCAAATTTATTGTGCTGTTCTTACATTCCAAACCCAACCCCTCCTCCCAGTGGGGGTCAGCAGAGGGAAGGATTTTCACAGTACCTGCATGCCTCCCTGCCAGACATCCCCCTCTTTACCCTCAGTCCATCTATCTGTGGTCCGCTGAAATGCAGCTAGGGACAAGGGCTGAGGAGAAACGGAAATCTCCTTTGGAGAACAGGAGGAAGAGGCCGAAGAACCTGATACCCCCCCACCTCCCATACCCTTAGGAGAACAGAGGTCAGCAAACAGTCCATGCCATCCAGCCCAGTGAGCTGGGGGAGAGAGGAAGATGTTGGTGACTCCAGCACAGCTGGGCTTGCTGCTTAGGAGGCCAGACGTGTAGGGAGGAGGCTGGGGCAGCAACATAGGAAAAGCTTTCTTTGCAGATCCGTGAAAGGAAACTCTTTTTTTGGAGCCAAAAAGGAAAGACCCTGGGATACTTTCCTTTTCCCCCAGGTCCTTAAGAGCAGTGGGAGGCTTCTTCACACTTTCTGTTCAGGGGGCCACTTAGTGGCTGGGGGAACGGGCCTTGTGGAACAGGTACACAGAGCGCTGGAAGCCTAAGGAGAGAGTGTGCAATCAGGAGGGCTGGCGGGACTTCAACACTCCACAGCATCTGCACCCTCTCGGCCAGGACCCACCACTTCACCGACCCTGGCCTCCCACCCTCCCCCAAGTCAGCCAGCCTTACCTCTGGAGGTGTTGTGGGGTGTAGCCACAAGCTCATAGCTGGAGAAGCCCACCTCTGGGGAGGTCAGGTACGAACTGAACTGCTCCGGCCTCAGCTGGATCCGATAGTAGTTCTTATAGATTGTTTCCTGGGGGAGAAAGGCAGGGGACCGCTTCAGCTTGCTGGCTTCTCCCCTGGTGTAGAATGACACCCACCCAGGGGACCTTGTTAAGCAAGTACTTCTCTCTGCTTCCTCGAGGCCTTTCTTGTCCCAGCTAAAGGAAGGGTATCCCAATATCCATGTGAATCCCAACTCACCGTGAGCGTCTTTCTCTTGCCATAGGATGACCAAGGTTGGGGCTCTAGGACCAGGATGCCCCCAGGATGTAGATGCCGGTAGATGCGGCGGAACATGCGCTTCAGCCCCTCATCTCCCCAGTTCAGATGCACCCATTTGGTGAGGCTGAGGCAGAGCACCACGTCATACTCGGGGGCTTGGGCCTCCACCAGCTCATCGCGATCCAGCACGTAGTTACCCTGAGGGCAAGAATGGGGGGCAAGGTCAAGAGAGGCAATGAAAGAACCACTGACCACCCTCGCCCACCCCCCATCAACCTGCTCTGCAGCCTCTAAGACAGAAAGTCCTACAGCCTTGCCTCAGCCCTTGGCCACAACCTTCTCTGACACTTGTCAGACTAACTCCCAAACGATGCCCTCTTGGGTCTCATTTTCCTGTTTACACCCTCCTGCCCCTGCTTTCTGTTGGTGGTAAGCCAAACAAAAAGGGAGCATGGAGAATTTTAAATTGAGCAAACTACCCACAAGGTCTCCAAAACTGGGGTGAAACTTCAGAGAAAGAACAAGGGTTCTCCCGAGACACTGTCCCACCCCACAAACATTAAGTTGAGTGACTCAATGTTATGCAAAGGGACCTAACCCAGGTTTTGAAAGGGAACCAACCTGTGGTTCCTTCCCTGGAGTTGTAGCTGGCAGAGTTCCAGGCCTATTTCCTTTCTCAGGGAGAAGTAAAGAACCCTAGCCCTTAGGAAACCTTTTCTAGGTGATATGCTCACAAAGTTCATTCTTGCAGGCTTAACCCAACCCGCCAGCACCAACCGTTCCGGCAGATGGCTGAACCGGAGTGTTCTATGGAGAGCTCTGTGTAGTCAGGGGACAGACACTCCGTGAAGACAGTACCCTCCCCTCCTGCAGAGCACTCTGACTCTTCCCTGTCCCACCATCTAGGGTCAACATGAGATGGTCTCCGGCCAAGTCACTTGAGGTCCTGATCACCAACACTCTTCAACCAACTCCGGACCTAAGTCCCTATCAAAATTAGTCAGCCACTACCCTATCCCTCCGCCCACCCCAAGACATGCCACGTCTAACAGCTGTCCCTTCATGCACCTTCATTCAGTGCGTTGGAGGCCAGTTTTCCATCTGGACCGAATCTAGCAAGCAGCAGCAGCCAGCAAGGGAAGGTGGACTGGTCTGGATTACAGTCCAGGCCGGGAGCAGAGCAAAAGGAGTCAAACCCCATCTTGGGGCCAGTAGTCATGACAAAGGGGCCCAAGTGAGAGGCCCCACCTTTCCAGGTTATAGAGAAGGAGACACTCAGCATTCACAGACTTAAGGATCCAGTTCTCCTAGCAGAGTGCATGCATAAATCCCCCTGGGTCTTAACTTTCCTCTGTCTTGTTCCCATTTAATCTCATCTTCACACCTGGCCCCTATCCCAAGAGCCTTGGGGGACCCTCTTACCGTGACGAAGACAACATTGTTGGGGAAAACTGATGTGTCCGCTCCATCCAAGGGCACTTGGGGTGCAGCAATGGGACCCCGGCTGGCTGTCAGTGAGGCTGGGAAGCAGCTTCTCTTTCGGACGGTTACGGTCCCTTCCTCACTCTCTGCCCCGGGGTCCCCCTCAGAAGTCTGAGATGGCAGACGCAGCTCCTCAGACAGGTAGTGTCGGATGTTTTGGCGGGCCGAGTGGATGAGGCGGGAATCAATATCCAGGCCCACCATGCGGGATGGACCCCACTTACAGGCAATGCTCAGGGTCAGATGGCCCACATTGCAGCCCAGATCTAGGACGTCCCGGCCCCGAAACCACTCAGGCTTCAACACTCGAAGGCGCCCGTCCTCACAGGAAGGATTGCGGTAACCATAGTACTTGCAATAATTCCCATACTGGAACTTGAGCTGTTGCTTTTTGAAGCCTGCTGCTGGTAGTGGGTGGAGGTGGTGATGATGGTGGTGGTGGTGGTGGTGGTGGTGGCGGCCTCCCCCACTCCCTCGGCCCTTTTCCTTGGGACCCTGGCCTCCACCCCTAGCCCCTGCCTCTGACTTGCTGGAAGTCCTGCGACGTTTGCGATGTCGTGAGGAGGAAGACGGGGGTGCAGAGGTAACTGAGGCAGCTGGAGGGGCTGAAAGGGAGCCTGAGGGACCCTGTAGGGCAGATGGAAGGGGAGACACAACCTCATCCCTGCAGTTGATGGCGGTGTTGAGTTCATAGGGCTGGGGGGCATCCCGGTTCTGGCCCCTATGCCGCTGCTGCTGTGTGGTGCCCTCCCCATGGAGTGAGGGAGTGAGGGGGGCTGTGGGGAGCACAGAGTGGCTATCATTCCCTCCAGTTGCCTGCTGCTGCTGGTGGTGCTGTCCCCGGTGTCTATGCCGCTTCCGACCAGTCTTGAGTGGCGATGCAAGAACTACCTGGGCCTCATCAGTGCAAGTATTGAGACTAAGCGGGTCAGTAATATCTTTGGGGATGAGGATTTCCACTGGATCTCGCCCCTTGGCCGGAAGTGGAGATGACTTAGGGGTCTCTGCATTGAGTGCGCGGCTCACTTCCTCATCCAGGAGACTATTCAGGTTCAGTGGATCAAAGATATTGCCCCCCAGGAGAAAGTTGGAGGGTAACACAGAATCACAGTCCGAATTAACCCGCCTGCGCCTCTTGAAGGCCGGATGTTTGAAGCCTCCACCACCCCCACCTACGTTACAACTATTTCTCCTCTTGCCCCCGCCTCCCCCAGGGGGCCGGTGGGGCTGATAGCCATTACGGGGTCGAGGAGGGGCAGGGGGGCCCAGTTCTGTTCCGCCCCCTCCCCGTCGCTCCTCCCCCACGTCAGGAAGAGCTGCTCGCCCGTGGGGATCCGACAAGCGGGCCTCCCCATGCGGCTGTGCCTGGGGGCCGCCCCCTCGTTGCTGCTGCGACTGGCCTCCCCGAGTGGATGTGGCCCCAGGGTTCTCCTTGCCGGCCCCAGAAGCTGGGGCTCCCGCCGAGTGTGCGCGCGGGCCCGGCCCACGCTGCGTCCCGCCGCAGAGCTCCCCGGAGGCGGCCTCTCGGTGCGATTGCACCGTGGGGCCGCCCCCTCCGCCCGACTCATCTTTGAGCGGCGGCGGCGGGGCCGGCACCAGAAACGGCTCCTTCTCCGCCGCCATCTCGATCATTTCCTCCCCTTATTCCGTCCCAGAAGAGGGCAACGGGGGGGGGGGGGGGGGACTGGGGGCTTAACCCCCCTCCCTAGAGCCCGCTCCCTTCCCCCCTTCCCTGGGTGCGCGCGCAGCCCTGCTCTTCTCGCCTAGTCTCGCGCCCAAGCACCTCCCCCGAAGCGCGCCCCACTCGCCCGCGAGACCAAAACAAGATGCCCGCGAGAACCGAACAACTCGAGGAATCAACCGCGCGTGCGCCGCCCCCTTTTTCTTCTACCACTACCGCTTCGCCGCGAGCGCGCACTGCTGGAGCGCGTTCCTCTCGCCCCTGAATCACGCATGCGCACTCCGCCACCACCCTGGTTGCGCGCGCATGAGTACGAACCAACTTAACGGCTCCGGGAGTTTAAATATAGCCCACCTCAGCCCCCCCCAAAAGCCCACCACCCCAAACTGACACCCTACTTCCCTTCGCAGCTATGTCCGTCCCTACTGATATCCTTTGTCTCTGCCGCGCGATCCCACCCACCGTAGGCGGGGGACGGGGAGCTGGTGTGAAAAGGTCTCCTTGACACCCGACCCTTGCTCCTGAGGAATGAGTCTCAGCGGTCTCCGCCCGGCTCTAAACCCAGCACCCTCCCTCCCCCGCCTCCTTCCTCCCCCTAGCGGGCAGCGCCTGCGCACACCCTTTTGGGCTTGCGCGGGTAGATGCAGCACGTGCTGGAGATGATGCCCCGCCCTCCACCCTAGGGGCGGGGACTGTTACGTCGCTTCCTCAGATTTGGTACACGCAACGTGCGTCAGCACGATGTGGAGGGGGCGTGGCCAAAGGATGGGGGTGGGCCTCATGAATTATTCATAATTCGCCCCCCCCCCCCCCCTTAGAAAGGCTTCCGAGGGAACGGAGGGGTGAACCTAAAAGTAGAGGAAGGGAAAGAGAGGAGCGTACAGATAGTTCTCCTACGAACTGTTCTCAGTAAAATACAATAAGTCATTGTAACTCACCCCCCTGGGAAATATTCTCTGCTGAACTGAAAAAAAAAAAAAAAAGGTACTAAAACAGCCGATGTTGTCCAACTTCCTCTTCCCCCGAAATGGCCGAGTCGTTTTCTTGCTCCTCCGCGTTACCCCAATCGCGATCACCTGGGGACACCACGCCCTCCTCTCCGCGTCCACACCCACAGCCCTGGCACCAGCACCTCCTCCCACCGCCCGACGCCTGCGCGCGAGCCCCCAGCCAGCGGACTGCGACCCGACGCCCACCACGGCCACCAGTAGCGCTACATTCAATACCACCACCGCCACCTCGCACGCAGGCCCTCCCAAACACACGCTGTCTTCACGCAGCCTTATATAAAAAGGAGTGTGGGCGGGGAAGAGGGTTCGGCCTGCTTTGGGCCCCCTGCCTCGGCCAATGGGGAAGAAGCTATTCGGCGCCCTTTCCACAGGGTGCTAAGGTGCCGCGTTCTCCCTGCCAACAGTGCCTGGGGAGTGGGTCCTGTGGCAGAGAAGAAGGCGGGAGAGGCGAGAGTGGGGTTGCGGATCGTCTCAACTAAAATATCGGGATAGGGCGCGAAGGAAACTAAAAGGAAGAACAGGAATCAGGAAACGAAAAGAGGAAGGAAAAGGCCGTCTGGGGTAGAGAGAAAAGTTAGTAAAAGAAAGATGTGCTTCATGAGCGATCAGGCGCTGCTTCTGCCGCCTAAAAAAGTGAGGCCACTGAGGATTATGGGATTTGTAGTTTCACGGGGCATTTGGTGGGAAGATGGCGGAAGTAGCAGCTGCGCAAACGCAGAGGCAGCTTTAACTGCGCATGAGCCCCGGTCCTGGAAGCCCGCCGCCGGGGTGGCAACGCCGCTAGTGCGTGTCTTCACGCCTTTTTTTGGTGGTGGGACTGCTGGGTCGGGGTTGGAGGGTTTTGCAGAATTGCTGCAGTGGCTCATTCTGCTCCTTGCCTTTAGGTCCTCCTTGTTCCAGAAGGTAGCTGGCTCTTCTCCGGTTGCAGATGAAAGTGCTAGGCGCTGCCAGTCCTCGCGCCCGTCGCCTGAGGAGTTTTCTCTTCAGGACGACAACGAGCTCTTACCCCTCCTTAGAATCCCTACCGCAAACCTACCCTCAGCAAACAGACAAAAGTGACCCAATATTGTGGCGGGCGACGACGGGCTGAGCGGGAGTGAGGATGCTGGTGGCTCCCCACAGGGTGTAGGGGTGCGGGCAGCTGAGAGGAAATGATCTCGTGGCGGGGGTTCTTGAGGTGGAAGAAGGGCTAGCAAGTCTCTGTTCTATCCACTGAGGGGAGTGAAGGGCTTTTGACTCTGTGGTACCTTCGCTCGTTATTACCGTCCTAAGAGCGAGTTGGTGAGAGAAAAGAGTGGGGAAAATGCGGATCCCCAGAAATTTTTCCCTCTGGGTTCAAAGGTGGAATTAGGGCTTTTACTGTTCCAAGACCTCGGCACCTTGGGAGGGGAGATGGGGCAGGGATCTGGGGGTTCGTGGGAATGTGCTCTTTTAAGTGAAAACAATCCAGAAAAGCGACTTAGAGGTCGGTAACGGGCACCTTGTGGAAGTGTTGCAGCCCGCAGGTAGCAAGAGCCCGAATGAAATCAGCGCTCACGAAGGAAAACCAGTATTTTGGTGCTAAGTGGCCGTATCTTTGCCCTCTGGACGAATAAGCTTCAGTTCATCATTAATTTATCTTATTTATTTATTTATTTATTTATGGAGAGAATTTTTTAAAAAGATTATTTATTTATTTTTTTTGACAGAGAGCAGGAGTAGGCAGAGAGGCAGGCAGAGAGAGAGAGAGAGAGGAGGAAGCAGGCTCCCCGCAGAGTAGGGAGCCCAATCCGGGGCTCCATCCCATAACCCTGGAATCATGCATGACCTGAGCCGAAGGCAGAGGCTTTAACCCACTGAGCCACCCAGGCGCCCCTCGTCATTAATTTATTGATAAGATTCTGTACAGGGTTTAGTTCAGGTAGTTACCACAGTAGGTGTCTTGTTACGTATGGGAAGTAAAGGTAGCCGGAATCTTGTTTTTATCTTCTTTCTTGTGAAATTATGCTTGCTGAGGGGTGGGGGAGGAAAGAGTTAAAAACTCCACTATGGTTATTAATGGGAACATGAAAATAAGCAGGAGTCCAAATGCCATTAAACACTGATGCCAAACGACAATCAGACTCTAGCTTAAGGGAGATTTTAAAGTTTTCCAGGCTCAGTGGAGCCTGTGCAGACTGTGTGTCTAAGGACAATTCTGCAGGGTTTACATGTATTCTCTTAGACCAAAGATTCCAGGAATGATAGAAAGAGGGAATGATTGATAGTTAGGAGAGAGGAATTTGTGAGCACTTTCTTTCTTTCTTTTTTTTTTTATAATATTTTATTTATTTATTTGACAGACAGAGATCACAAGTAGGCAGAGAGGCAGGCGGAGAGGGAGGAGGAAGCAGGCTCCCCGCTGAGCAGAGAGCCCGATGCGGGGCTCAATCCCAGGACCCTGGGATCATGACCTGAGCCGAAGGCAGAGGCTTTAACCCACTGAGCCACCCAGGCGCCCCATAAATGACATTTTTATGAAAAATATATTTTCCCGAATGAAATTTAGTGTGAAGAAGGGTGGTGGTTTACATTTTTGCAAGTCTCTTTCATGTCTGGCTTAGTAGAAGACTAGCTAGGTTTTTATTTGTTTCTGAATTCAATCTGTTATGATACCTTGTTTTGGTTGAAGTGTATGAGAAAATCCAGCCTAACGTGGATTAGTAGTTGGAAAGGGGAGGGGACCCCCAGGGGTCTTTGGATCACACTTGAGAACTGCTGAAGGAGATGATTTCATCTTAAAATCACTGTCATGATGTTTAGTGTTTGTGTGTGTGTGTGTGTGTGTGTGTGTGTTTAAAGATTTTATTTTTTTGACACATAGAGAGATCACAAGTAGGCAGACAGGCAGGCGGGGGGTGGGGGCGGGAAGCCGGCTGGCAGAGAGCCTGATGTGGGGCTCAATCCCAGGAGCCTGAGATCACGACCCGAGCCGAAGGCAGAGGCTCAACCCACTGAGCCACCCAGGCGCCCTATGATGTTTAGTGTTTTAAGTGAAAGAAAACTTACTCTTTTATGGAACACTTCATTCACCATCTCTTGGTTCCCTTCATTTGTTATTTCCAAGTTCTTTTCCCCATTTTTCACCCTTCTTATGTTGAGTGGGTAGGATCTGATTAATGGAATTTTATTTTACTTTCATACTTAAAGCTCTGTTGGATCCCCACCCCCAAATCTGAGGTAAAAACAGAAACGAAACAAAACCAAAAAACCCTTCAGATGTTATTCCTGGCTCCAGAGCCCCTGGTCATTGAGTAGCTGGTCAGATGAAAGTTGGTGGTATTTTGTGTATTTATTAACTATCTGGTTTAAAAACTTTTTTTTCTCTCTCTGCACTACATTTTAATATTTCTTATTGTGGAAGAAGAAAATTCATCTGAAACAGAGGAGCAGATACTTGAGTTGTCTGAAAGGGACTTCTTGGCTTTCCCCTCTCTGTTGATCAGATTAGATATTTTCTTTAAAAGTAATGTTTTTCATCAAGCACACTCTAGATTAAGGGGAATTAACAACCCCGGGGCAGCAGCTCTTTCTGCCCATGGGTCCTGTCCTTGTGCTTTAACAAACCACAATTTTGCACCAAAAAAAAAAAAAAGATTAGGGGGAATTATTATATAATACTGCTTATAAATTTACTGTGTCTTATTAACAGTGATCCACGATTTTAGACAGTTGGTTGGGGCGCCAGTAACACACTTTGGCCTAGAGAGGTCAGTATAGGTTTAGGTAATGATTTGAACCAAAGTGCTGGAAAATTTTGCATTTTTAGGTGGATCAAAACACTCTATTTTATTTAAAGAATTTGGAATTTAAAAAATCACTTTTGATGTGGTAACATTGGCATATAATAAAATGCTAGAAATATGCAAGGGAGTACAGTAAAAAGCTCTCTTCTACCCCCAGCCACCGAGTTCTATTTCATAGAGACATTTTTGTCAGTTGCTTGTGTATTCTTCCAGAGACAGTTTGTGGATATACAAGCATATTATGTAAATACACATTTTAAAAAAATCAAATCTTGTCATCTCAAATACACTAATTCTCATTTTGCTTTCCCCATTTAGTATAGCTCACCTTGTAATTTATATTACCTTCATAGGGACTTCTCATGATCTTTTTTGGAATTCTGGAATCTGGGAGAAGTGTTTGTCATTTGTGGTCAAATTAATATTCACTTTACAGCCTATCAGTTTCTAGTTTCTATATAGAATTATCAATAAAGAAGACCAATTTGCTGTAGTACTTTCCCGATTTCCCGCTTGCCTTTTTTTCCTAGAGTAAATAGACTTAGGGGCTGGTGGTGATGAGTTAAGATGGAAATAATGAGGAAATGTGCTCCTTGATGCAAAGGAAAAGTAGTTGCTATAGAACTGTACACCTGAATTATTCACATTTACAGAAGTAAGACAAGGAACAAAAAAATAACCAAAGATAATTTGAAAATACACTTAGCCATGTTGTACACATACTAAGTCAGGGCCCCAATATCCTTTTTTTAAAGTTTTTATTTATTTATTTATTTGATAGAGAGATCACAGGTAGGCAGAGAGGCAGACAGAGAGAGAGGGGCGGAAGCAGGCTCCCCGCCGAGCAGAGAGCCTGATGTGGGGCTTGATCCCAGGACCCTAGGACCATGACCCGAGCCGAAGGCAGAGGCTTAACCCACTGAGCCACCTAGGTGCCCCTACCCAATATCTTTTGAATTTATCTTGGGATCTAGGGGGAGGAACTCCATACCCTGATCAACTGATTGTTCGCTATAATTTGGTCATTTGAGTGTCTTAAAACAGTCAAATCCTTTAAAGGGTTGTGTATGTATCTTTTATAGAAGATCCATTTTATGCTGCTTTTGGGTCTCTTTATGGTGGGAGATGACATAGTTGGAAGATTGAGTTTTAGGTCCAGGGCCTTCAAGTTACTTAAAACCAACAGTGAGAAATGAGATCATTGAGCAGAATAGATGTGTTATTAGTAGAATTTAGAGGAAAAGGCCTGGGTTCATCTTGGCTCTACCATGTATTAACACTGAAGCTTTGGGCAAATCACTTAATTGCATTTTGCATATTTTTTCCATCTGTAAAAAAGGGGAGCTGGCACTTTGTGACCTCTGTAGACCCTCCCAGAGCTACAATGCTTGTTATAATTGTTATAAAAATAAGAATGGCTTACATGTGTTAAGCCTAAAGAAAACTGGGTGGAAGGGTTATAAGAAGTTTAAGCTGATAAAACCAAGGGCATTTTTCTTCTAATTGTTGAGTAGAAATAGTCTCAATAGTGAAAAGCAAATTGGAAAATAATTTACAAATTACTGCAATGTCACAAGATGAGTCTTGGCACTCTGCTAGACAGCAAATGGCTTATGGCTGTGTACAGATACTGATCTCTTTAGCCTTTGATATGGCTGGAGGTCCCCCTACTCCCAACCTTTAGTTGTCTATGGCTGTGAAAAGCCTGATCCTTTTACTCCAGAATACCTGAAATTCAGTTTTCAGTGTATTTCAGTGTGTATTTTTAATAGATGCTTTCTATGTGTGCTGTGATATTAAAATGGGTTTGAAGCACTGAATTAGACTGTTGGGATCTAGCATGCTGTAGATAATAGTGCAAACTTTAACATCAGGTGGGTTCTAATCAATTATCACCTATCGATTACCTATTATGTCTAAATCCTTCTAAGCCTCAATTTCTCCAAGAGTAAAAAAGTATAGATCTCATAAATTTAAATTTATAAAATTTACAAATGTCATCTTATTTAAATAAGATTTAATCTTATTTAATTAAATAAATAATTAAATAAGATTAAATCTTATTTAAATAAAATGACACATGTTAAGGGTAAAGAATATAGCTGGTGCTCAGTAAGTGTCTTCTATTATTAGTTACAATTTTGGTAGTGATAACGAAGCATTCTGATGTAGTATAGAACATCTGAGTAGATAGCTGTAGGATATAGAGTGAAGGTGTTAGATTCCTATTACTAGCTTCCCTGGGGACCTCTGCTGGTTGCCAAATATTTTTGAGCCATGAATTGAGAGAGATTGCTAGAATTCAGCACACTGGAAAATTTATTGGACTAGGAGATCTAAGTAAAGGGCATATAAAGAGTATAGTGATGTTAAAAAGGGGGTTTCCTATGCATAGGGACCTCTGAATTAGGTCAGAGAATTGCCAGATTATTTGTGTTCTAAGTATTTAGGAGAACCTTGTGGGATGAGTTTATGCTTCTGAAGAAAACTCTTACTTTTTAACTCCCAGGACTGTTCATATTACTACTACTACTACTACTACTACTACTACTACTACTTATACTTCTATCTGTTAAAAACAAGACAACAGGCCCCAGATGCAGTTGCTTCTATTAAGCCCCACATCACCAAAGCAAGACTTAAAGTTTCGGCTCTCCCAGAAATAGAATCTTGGTTTACAGCTCGCAGGGATCACCTGATGAGCACTAGTTAGGTAATCTACCTAACAGACCCCTACCATCTCCTACAGGAAAGTCGACTTGCAATAGTTAATTTTTTTTTTTTTTTTTTTGGTCTAGTGTAACTTCCTTGTTCTTGCTTCTCCTGCCGGTACAAGTCTTCCATTTAGTACAGCTTCTCTGAGCTACTTTGTATCTTTTAGATCAGATGCTGCCCAATTCATGAAGTTGAATAGAGCCAATAAGATCTTCAAAATTTCCTCAGTAATTTTTTTAAAAAAAGGTTTTATTTATTTGACAGAGAGAGAGAGAGAGAGAGAGAGATCTATCACAAGTAGGCAGAGAGGCAGGCAGAGGGGAAGGGGGAAGCAGGCTCACTGCTGAGCAGAGAACCTGATGTGGGGCTCGATCCCAGGAGCCTGAGATCATGACCTGAGCTGAAGACAGAGGCTTAACCCACTGAGCCACTCAGGCGCCCCTGAATTATTATTATTTTTTTAATGCATCGCTACCATTATCATTTCCACTGTTGACTAGCGCCTGCCTTATGTTGGACATGACTCTAGGCACTTAAAACACTAGGGATTGTTGTTTATCTTTAAAACAGTAACTCTCATTATCCTCTGGCATTTGATTGACACTGAGGATGTAGAAGTAAAGTCAAGAGGGCAGAAAATGTAGTTCAGGAGTCCCAGGCACAGAGCCTGGGCCCAAGAAGACAGAAGAAAGTTGAAAATCATGTTCAATTGGAATTCTAGCAGTTACTTTCTTTTTTCTAACAGAGGCACAAACCAAGTGTAGCTTCTGAGCTGAATAATGACATCGTTGCAAAGCAAAGAAGGTGAGTCAAGAGTAAAGGAGGTTCACGTTTTGTACGTTTCTCTCAGTTTTCCCTTTTTCCTCTGTCTTTGGTCGTCTCAATGCCCTTCCCACCAAAGGGAAGCTCAGTCCATATATGGTTTGCATGCACTTTGTTAAAGTTACTACTTTTCTAGAAACTTTGAGTGAAATGTATGTGACTTAGAAGCAGTCCAGCTCAGGAAATGTAGGAGCTCATAGGGAGACAAAAGACATTTTAATATCTAGAACACAAATTTGAATGTGGTAAATGCCACCAGAGGGGCACGAAGTGTTGTGGAAACTCAGAGGAGAAAGATATTACTTATACCTGGGAGGATCAGTATAATTTTCGCTGTAGTAGTTTGTTTTCTTTTTCTCCCAATTTTTCTAATCTCCCATAAAATTCTGTTTTAAGTTAAAATGAGCAAATTTTTAAAATTTCCGTTTGAATAACTCATCTTCTTGCATGTGCATATTTGTCACCTTCGAACTACTCAGTAGTTCCTAAACTTGGCATCAGAATAATCTAGACGGCCTTGTAAAACAACAGATTCCTATGCCTCATTCCCAGCTATTTCATCTGAATCTCAGGGGGTGGGGTGGGGTGGGAGAGGAGAGGCCTGGTAATCTGATTATGTTAAAAGCTCTCCGGATAATTAGGACATGCCCAGTCAATGGGCAGTGCAAACACTTTCTGTGTTAGACTCTATATTTCATAAATCCCATTGGATAACCAAATTTCTTTCAGCATGTGGGAAGGGGCCAAAGAAAACCTTTGCCCCACCTGCACCAAAATTGCATAGCCTGATGTGCTATAGCCCTAAACCACCCAAAGAGGACACTGTGAGGATCAGTTCCCCAAAGGCCAGGTTAGAGAAGAAGGAAGCGAAAGCAACCACAGAAAATGGTCCAAGCAGTGGCCAGGAGAATAAAGGAAAACCTCAAGACAAGCAAGTAAAGAAGAAAGAAAAGGTATCAGTCTCATTGATGGGCTCTAGTGGGACAGTTTCGCCTAGATATCCAGACTAGACAATCTTTTATGTAGGGGAACTTGCAGTTTCTTATTCCTTTCTTGGGGCTTCTATTTTCTTCTCAAAGAGGTAGAATAAAAAATCTTGATGAAAGCCTTTAGCTTGAAATAATGGTAGGGGTTGAGATGGGATGGAGGTAAGAGTAAAAGTGGTCAGAGACTTTACAAACTTTTCCTTTTCTTTGACTCCTTTATTCCCAGGAAATCTGAGGTAGAGTTTATAGAATCCTTAGGGACATTGAGTTCATGCTTGCAACCTTGCAAACTTACTGCCTCATGTAAAAGAGTCTTCCCTGACTTGTCAGGGAGGAAACCTGGGGAAAGATGTGTGGGTTTCCTCCTCTGCCCTTGTCTCTGCAGGAAAGATCAAGTCTCACCAGTGCAGAATTTGAGGAGATTGTCCAGATTGTGCTACGGAAGTCCCTCGAGGAGTGCTTGGGTATGGCTTACAGTAAGGGAAGAATTTCAGTTAGACAAACTATTATCTGAGGGGTAGAGTAAGTTGACAGCTTTTCTCCTTCCCTCCAGTTTCCTAAGTAAGGAAATACTAGCTGGGCGTTGAGATATTTTTAAATAGTTCATCTTCTATCAACAGGACTATAGCTAAACCACCTTAGACAGGAGGTGTAGGCTCTTAGAAAAGTGAGCTACCTTGACTTCAGAATATAAATACAGTCTCAGATTTTTTTTTTAAATGTAACTTAAATTCCTTTTTACATGTTTACAATCTACTTAGAAAAGATAATTTGTATTTCTCAGATTGGAAGAACTTAGTTTCCATCTACTCTTGTATATTTCTGTTTCCAATACTGTTTTAACATATGCTCAGGGATTCGACTTTTTGGAATAAAGAACTCTGTAGTAGGCCCTGAGCACTTCACCATATGACCTGAGGAGAAGGGGGAAGGGGAATAGTCTGACATTTTTAGCTATTCTTAGATGTACTTCTTTTTTTTTTTTTTTTAAGAGTTTATTTATTTATTTGACACAGAGAGAGATCACAAGTAGGCAGAGAGGCAGGCGGTGGGGTGGGGGGAGGGCGGGGGGCGGGAAGCAGGCTCCCTGCTGAGCAGAAAGCCTGATGCAGGACTCGATCCCAGGAGCCTGAGATCATGACCCGAGCTGAAGGCAGAGGCTTAACCCACTGAGCCACCCAGACACCCCAGATGTACTTCTATTCTTAGACAAAATTTCAGGAACAAATGATATAAAACACAATATGTAAAATTTCTGGTCTGTACACAAAATAAAATTGACATTACCTGGCTATCCCTGGAAAGGCTTGCCGAAAGATACAGATTTGTAGTTTTTTCCCGAGAATTTAAAGACTTAAAGTTCATGATATGACAAAACTCCAATGGTGGAGTCTTCCAGACAACAGTGGAAGACATTTTAGTGGAAGGCTGCTGTTTGGAAATAACGGAGTCAGTATTTTCTTAATTGCTTCTCTGCTTATAGTATTTTGTTTTGGGAGAGATGGGATCTAGCCTTGATTTTACAGAGACTTCCTGTGCCCAGCCCTTAAGATGCACCCAGTTAGACAAGGAACCAGGAATTGCTTCTTCTACTGATAATGATAATGCTGATGGGTAAGTTTATCCCAGTGAGGCAAGTCACTCACAGGGTGCACTTAGCATTGGTACATGGTTATCTGTCTGTCTAGCCATTCTCGTATCTCTATGGATTTCTCTCAGCTCAGAAAAGATACCTGTTTGAACTGGGAAAAATAGGCAACTAGATGGGTAACATGACCTCAGGAGGCCTTAGAGAGCCTGGGATTCTTCTATCATCCTGACTTTTACCCTTGGGTTCTTTTCAAAAGGAGGGTATGAAAAATTCCTCCTTTTTTGCCTTTTCATTAAAGAAAAAAAATATTATTTTCAGAGAGAGGGTAATGGTACCTCATATTCTAGAGATTTCAGCCACTAAGGAAGCTGGAGTAAGCTCTGTGATAAAGACTTCTAAGCCAGGCCAGCCAGATCCTGCCCCCTCTGAGAAGAAATTCAACAGACCTTCCCTAAGCAAAGGAAAGAAGGGAGCCCGTAAGTATAGTCAGATGTACTTTGACATCTGGCTCAAGAACCTATGGCATGGAATTAGGGAATGGGATGGTGGGCAGGCAGAGAATCTTCAGCCCAGGACTTGAAACTATTAGGCTATGATTCTTTTTCATTATTTCACTGCCCCTTACTATCTACAGAGATTCTCTTCATCTCCCTCCCCTACAATGTTTTGTTTTGTCTTCCCAGAAGATGACAAAATGGAAAAGGTCCAAAGTACATACAAGCAGAGACAGAAGGACCAACTGAAAAAAACAGTTCAAGATGATTCTCAGACCAGGAACCAACAAAAAGGAGAAGGCAGTGGTTTTGGTGAGCTCAGCATGATTTGGAAAACGTACCTGGGCTTGAAAAATCGAAGATAGAGATGGAGAGAGGCAAGGATTAGGTTGCTGGAGGAAATTCTGCAAAGACTGTAATTTATCTCTCATAGCTACTTGTCAGGGATATCCGCTGTGGAAGAGAAAGATTTCATTAATTCAGTTATTCAGCCGCATAATCCGTAGTTGTTGGGTGCTTACTATATACCAGGAATTTTAGGAGGTGTTGAATGAACTCAGAAGAAATTGTTCTATGCCTGTTAAAGGGGAACAGGCTTGTGAGGAAGGCAAACAAGAAAGCTGCAAGTTGGGAGTAGATCTGGAAAAGTTTCCATGAAAAGATACTGTTTGAGCCGTATGTCAGAATTACAATTTAGTCAGGTGAACTGAGGTGGGGTTGGGAGTCAAAGTGATATTTATTGGCAGAGTTATGGAGGAGAGCTAATGGTTGTAGCTTTTGGGTGTGTGTGTGTGTGTGTGGAGTAGTAGGTTGTAGGGGGAGATAAGGCTAGAGGCATGTAAGGGCCAGATCATAAAGGGCTTTACATATCAGGCTAAGGAATTTGAATTTTATTTTAAAGGTAAAGAGGAACCACTGGCATTAAATAGGAAAACTTGGCAAGATTTAGTATTTTAGAAAGCTCACCCTGCCACACAACTAGACCCACAGAAACAGTGATCCAAGTGAGGAAGATAGACAGTAGCAGTGAAGAGGAAGAGACAAAGTTGGGATTTTTAGGAGGAAAGATCAGTATGATGTGGTTGTCAATTAGGTCTAAGAGGTGAGGAAGAGAGAGGCCTTCAGGATGATCCTGTTTTCTGACCTGAGTGGCTGAAAGAACCATCATTTGAAACGGAGGCTATAGAAGAAAGAGCACATTTCAGATGGTGAATTCAGCTTTGGACAAGTTAGGGGGGTCTGTGATGAGCTTTAGCATCCGAGAAAGAGGTCTGGGCCGGGAATACAGGTTTGGGAATCTGGGTGAAATTTTCTAAGATGAAGACATGGAGTGCAAAGAGAAAAGCGATGGGTATAAACCCCATAATTTTTAGGTGGAACATAATGTTTGGGCTTGAGCAGAGAATGAGCTGCACGGGGAGAAAACGAAGAACTAAGAGAAAACTTTTGGAGGTGGAAGGAGGTCTAGGAGAGTATGACATCACAGATGCCAGGGGAGGAGAGAATTTCAAGAAAAAAGGAGTGTTTATCCTTGTCCAGTGCTGCTACAGAGACATGAAAGAGGACAAAGATTTGAAAATGCTCAATGATGTTATAATTAGGACGTTACTAGGGTCTTGACTAGACCACCCATATGGGTTGGTAAGGGTGAATTGCCAGTTTAGTTGGTTGAAGAGTAAGTACTTTTTCAATTAGTTTAGATGTGAAAACCAGGATGAAGAAAATGGTAAATAGAAGGGAGTAGATAGAATCGAGGGAAGGTTTTTCTTTCTTTTTCTTTTTTTAATTTTCTTTTAAAAGAAAGAGACTTGACCTGTGTGTCCTTAGCATATGTATATGCTGAAGGAAAATTGTTTATGAAGAAGGAGAGGTTAGGGTGACTGGGTGGCTCAGTGGGTTAAGCATCCCAACTCTTGATTTTAGCTCAGGTCTTGATCTCAGGGTTGTGAGTTGAAGCCCTGTGTTGGGCTCTACTCTGGGCATGGAGCCTACTTAAAAAAAAAAAAAAAAAAAGAAAAAGGAGAGATTGAAGGGAATGAGAAGAGAGACACAGGTCTTATTCTTAGAAAGGACACTTTAGCCTTTGAGATTAGAAGGAAGGAAGATAAGCATGGATACAGATTTATTTATTCTTTTAACCATAGTTATTAATGCCTTATGTTCTATTCCAGGCAGCGTGCCAGGTATTAGAAATACAGTGGTGAACAAATTAGGAAATCCTTTCTTTCATAAAACTCATGGTTTTAGTGTATTAGGTAATAAAGAACTATAAGTTATAACCATGGTAATTTGGGGAAATTTTATTTTATTACTAGTATTTTCTTAAAATTTTATTTATTTACTTATTTGACAGAGAGATAGAGAGCACAAGTACGCAGAGCAGCAGGCAGAGGGAGAGGGAGAAGCAGGCTCTCCACTGAGCAGGGAGCCCGATGTGGAGCTCAATCTCATGACCCTGGGATCACGACCTGAGCTGAAGGCAGCCACTTAACTGACTGAGCCACCCAGGCGCCCCTATTAATTTGTTTTTAAAAGATTTTATTTATTTGACAGACAAAGACAGAGAGAGAGGGAACACAAGCAGGAGGAGTGGGAGAGGGAGAAGCAGGCTTCCTGCTGAGCAGGGAGCCCCATGCGGGGCTCCATCTCAGGACCCTGGGATCATGACCTGAGCCGAAGACAGATAACAACTGAGCCACCCAGGCACCCCAATTTTGGGAAATTTTAGAATGAGAAATAAAAGAGATCAAATGATATGTTAGTATGTTTAAATTTTTGAAAATAAATACAGTTAACAATTGGAGAAAACAGGCTTGCATCAAAAACAGACTTGTACATACTTGAAAGAAAACTCTGAAAAAGAAAAAAAAAAAAAAACTCTAGGCATCACACAGGATAGTCCAAGGCAATAAACTGCTCTTGTTATAATGACATGGTAACATAAGGAGTGGAGGTGTAAGTCTCATTTGGGCAGTTGGGTGGTCTGGGTGGTGGTGGTCCATCTCCCTCACCTCTTGCTATTAGGGAAGGATTGGATTTTCTCCCGGGAAATGGAAAGTCCACTCCTTTTAGGCAGTGTTCATTGAGTTGAATTGTGATTGTCATGAATGTGTAAGCCTCTGGCTATAAACGGACTGCTCTTCCTGTTTCTGCCAGTTGCCAGGGACAGGCGAGTCCTCCTGGAAAGAGAAAGGGCAGTATCTGATAAATACAGTCCATTTGTGTGAAGTGAGGGAAAAGAATGGAGTGTCATCGCAGGAAACAAGGGAGACCTAATCAAGATTGGGCCAGTCAGGGAATGCAGCTGTAAGTAGATGGCCGTTGAGCTAAAATCTGGAGGAGGAGCAGGAGTAGGAGAAAAAGTTTAGGGAGAGTACAGTTTGGTATAATCCAGGCATTAAAAGGATCGTGATTGGAGTTCAGAGAGCAAGGGGAAGCGAGGCAGGAAAGTGAATCTGGATGAATGTACAAAGTGAAGATTTTACCCTCCATGCAGTGGGAAGCCACGGACGAGTCCTCCCCAGGGGAGTGATGTCATCAAATTAATGTTTTAAAAGACTCCCTTTGGTGATTAATTGGAGAATGAAGTATGTGGGGACAAGAGTAGACGAGTGAGTCCTAGGATTAGATACTTCGGTGGCTTGGATGAGGATGATGAAAGTGGAAACAAAAGTGGATGGTTTTACGATATGTTTTAGAGGTAAACTTGTCAGAACTTGGTAATGAATTGGATATTGTGTGAGAGAGAGGCGAGAGTATGTTAAAGATGATTGGTTTCTGGCTTGAGCGGTTACGTGAGAGAAGGTGGGGAAAAGTGGAGGAAGAACACATTTATGGGATAAGATCGAGCATTTGGGTTTGGGCCTGTTAGGTTTGAGATCTTTGTGAGACGTCCAAATGGTGATGTCGAAGAGCGAGGTGGCTATGGGAATCTGGAGCTCAGAACAAAAGCCGGAAGTGTTATACATCTGTGTATGGTCAGGTGTGGAGAAGGGTCTCAAACCTGTAGGAATGGGTGAGCTTGTCTTAGGAGAAAGTGTAGCATAGGAGTGAAGGCCCATGACTGGGCTTTGGAACCCCAACATTTGGAGACTGAATGGGGAAGGAGGAGGGAGCTGCCAGAAAGGGGGTGAAGGCAAAATGGAAGGAGGAGGGATCACAGAACCTAAGGAAACGGGTGTCCACTGAAATGCTCTTAGGGTATCTGTGAGTCTGTATTATCATAGAGCTGTGTTGTGAGCCTCAGCCTTCTGGAGCACATCATCCTCTCTTCAAAATTGTTTGAAAGGAAACTTGAAAGAACTATGTATTGTTGTCATTGGAAATTTTATCCCAAGCCACACAAATACCTAATTCTACATCATTAGGATGACTTTTCCCCAATTCATTTGCTCATGAGTATTCATTATTTTCACACCAACCATTTATTTTATTGATCTCTGTTTATTTTTATGGTCCCTGGCCTCTTCTCCCCTTCTTTTTTCTAGTCTTGCTAGGTCTCCTCTGTAAACATAAAAAAACTATTATTGGTAGCTCATTTTGTTTTGTTTTGTTTTGGCTTTTTTGGATGGTATTGTTCTGTTTTTATGTATACAGAGTTTCCAGATTGTATATTATCATATCAAAGACACAAGATGCCAGCACATAGTGACCAGAAGAAAACCCTGGTAGGAAGCCAGTACAGAAGGTTCCAGCATACCTGGGCCAGCTGGGCCAGTGCAGAGTCCTGACACCTTGTCCATCAGCCCAGAGGCAGGGCTGGCTTGATGGGCACCTTCACAGGAGGTCTGTGCCTGAGCCAGGTCCACAGGGGCTTTCTGTGAATTGCCCAGCGGTATTCGCCTCTAACTCCGAATCATAGTCTTTCTGTCTCAGTCCTTGTCCAACTCTCTCTGGTTGCTGAGGCAGAAGGTAAAGATCTGTTTGGGCTGCATGTTCTCACCATCATGGGATGGGGGTGGTGGCAGCCATGGGCTGCCCAGGAGTTCAGCATGGAAGAAGGGAGGCCCCAAGAGACCTGCTGCCTGTCACTCACTGCAGGCCTCGCCTACCAGCAGCCGTGGAGGCATGGGTCTCAGAGGCCCACAGTGGCTATTGTGGTGCCATACACACATGTGTGTTCCAGGCTCTACAGCTATCTTTTCAGACTAATGTATCATTCCCAACCAGTACTTTTTTCTTCAAAATAAAAGAATTCAGAATGTGATACATAGTATGAGCTACTTTGAAAAGACTGAAATGTAAGTCAGCTGCTTCTCTGAGGGCTGATGGAGGGCATCCCTTATGCTCAGACATGGAAGGTAAAACTTGACAGCGGGCAAGTGAACTTACTGGAGAAACTTATTGGTTGATATTATTAATTGTGATGGTATGGTGTAGACCCATGTGCCTGGTTATGTGACATTTCTCTAGCAATGCTCAGTTGAATGAATGTAGGCACAGAAAAGGTAGAATGTGTTCACTCAGGGTTGTGTTTGGCCAGCTGGGTGGGAAGAAGGACAGAGGGCAAGGGAGTTGAAGATGCCTACAAGAGAACCTTAGGACTCAAACCTGAGTAAGTATAGTGAAGAAAGGAGGTCGCTACTAGATTGGGTAGAAATTAGGGGCCAGTGGATTGATGATCTAGATAAAATGAAAGTTCCTTAGCAGTCTTTGAGCAAGTGAGGCAGAAGGATGGGGCATTTTTATCAGGGAGGGATGCTTGGATAAGTGGTTCCGGGGTGTGTGAGGTCACTACGGATGACCGAGGGGGGCAAGCAGGAGGGGAGTGCATCGTGGAATTGAAGTGCATTACTGAGGTGGCCTGGAGGAAAAGGTCAAGGAACTCAGAGAATGGGGTGCTTCTTCGAGGTACCCCTGTGAGAACAGTGGTCATCTGGAATGAGGGCAGGAGGTGGAGAGGAGGAGAAGGCTAAACCACATGCCAGCATCTTTTCAAGGGGGATGAGAGGGCAGTGTAATCCCATGGCTTGGATCTCAAGGAAGGAAGGGTTTTTATAGGAAGGAGGATAGTAATGGTCTGGAAGTGGTGATGAGTAAGGATGATGCTGACCCCACTTTCTGGCCTGGGGTGTGAGAGAGGGAACAGACTCCACTTTGAGGGCTGTGGGTGGGCGGGTTGGGTAGGGGCATTGTCATTAGTGTATCACCAGGATTTGAAAAGGAGATGGATGTTCAGAGAAGTTGAAGATATGTGGACTTTTTGTTGCTCTTGTCTAGAATTCCACAGAACAGAGTGGAGGAATTTAGGATGGAGAGAGGAGAGCCTTTGAGGGGCATTGAGTCAATTTAGTAGATGTTGGGATAAAGAAAGCTGGGGATAAGGGTTTGGAAGTTAACGGATGAAAGGAATGCTTGGCCTCTGAGCAAGGCCTGAAGTAAATAGTTGGTTGAGTTGGTAGGCTTATCTCTGTGTTTTGGAAGGGGTTAAACTCATGGCAGTTGGTGCCAAAGACTACAACTTGGTGATTTGGTGACGGATAAATCAGCTGGGATTCACATTAGGAACTCTGGATGTTGTACACAAAAGAGATGCTGGTTAGCCCTTCAAAAGAACTTTCCAGTAGTGACAGGCCAGCGGAGAATGAGGCACTAGCCAGAAAGATGTTGGCCAGACTTTTCAAGAACTGTCGATACAGAAAACGCTGCTTTTCTCCTTGGGGGAAGGAGAGATTAATAGTTTGGCACAGGAGAAAGATAGATGTGTGAGAATTTTGCTCTGCTACCAATTCAGAATGATCTTTGGCAAGTCGATTATCTTCTCTGAGCTTAGTTTTCCCACTTACAAATCTAGGATTAGGCTAGTTGATTCCTAAGGCCACGTGATTTTGAAGGAGATACATTGATTTTAGTTGGACTGAAGAAGGAAGGGCATATCTTTGTTTCATTTCAGTGTTTTTTTTTTTTTTTTTCCTCCTCGCAGGTCAATGTCTTGTCTGGGTCCAGTGTTCCTTCCCAAACTGTGAGAAGTGGAGGCGGCTTTGTGGGAACATTGACCCCTCAGTGCTTCCAGATAATTGGTCCTGTGACCAGAATACAGGTAGAAAGGACTGGAGATTTTTTTCTTCTTTTTAGTTTTTAATGTTTCTCTGTGTGTATCCCTTAGATTAAAGATGTCATAGATGTAGTTATAATTCCAGGGGTCTCTGTAGTGTTTGGGAGAGAGGAAGGGATCATCCTGTCATATCAAGATGAATCTGGCATAATGGGCTAGAAGCAGACACCCTGTAGAGTTATGTTGTGGGAATGGACTGGGATCTAAATGTAGATTCCAAGTGAATTCTCCATTCTTCAGTACTAGTCTGACCCGGTTGGTCTTGATTAGATTGTTGGTATTGGGTTGGTGGATAAGAAGGAATATGGGGCATATGGGGGGGGAAGCAGGTGAGAGAGAATGTTAAACCACTAGAATGTTTGAAACTACTTGGAAGAGATTATGATGATCTAGCCCAGCCCAATTATTCTTACAGATGAGATAACAGAGTCTCAGAGAAATGACTGTCATGATGTTATGTAGATGGAAGCAGGGTCAGATAATATGGGATATAGGCAGGAGTTTGGAATCTCTGTAAAGTACAAGGAGGCAACACTCCTCATCTAGCTGTAGTTGCCTTTCCTCCAGGGGTCTTTGTTCTTCCTCCATGCCTGTCTCCCACCATGCCCGTCTCCCAGATGCCCTTTTGATTCCCACCTGCTGCATATTCTTGTCCTCTCTCCTGCCCATCCAGATTTTTCCCTGATGGGGTTCTTTCCTTCCCTTCATTCCTTCTCTCTTTTGCCAGACTCGAGGTATAATCGCTGTGACATCCCGGAGGAGTCCTGGACAGGGCGTGAGAGTGATGTGGCCTATGCCTCCTACATCCCAGGATCCATCATCTGGGCCAAGCAATATGGTTACCCCTGGTAGGGCACAATGGCATAGTCAGAGAACCCTTCATGAACTTGGAAGTGGTAGATTCAAGCAGAGAGGGAAGGAAATGGAGAGCACTTTTAACGCAGATGATACCTGCCTTAGAAAGAACATGGGATGAAGGAAGAGAGAAAGTACCAAGTCCTGGTGGGTTTGAAAGAATGCATTTTCTAGAGGTTTCACAGTGGAGGTGGTATCTCTCTGGAAAAAAAGTCTACCAATTCTACCCTGAGTGGGTAGAAAAAGGAAGGTGGCTTTAAGTCATTGTTTAAACATTGAGATATGACAGGTATATAAAGTAGAGAGAATAAAGAAGGGTAGGATAGTTTCTTCTTTAGAGATGTCCCTAATCAGAAGATTTTTTTCTCAGGGTTGGTGGAAGGCCTATTCTTACTAGGAAGAATTTGAGCTTCTTTGTACACTGATAGAGGTCACTTTAGTCATTTCGTAGACTATTCAGGGAGATCCACAAGGGGGTGATGTCCACCTTTGAGATCCTTTTTTCTTTCTTTCTTCCTTTCTTCCTTCCTTCCTTCCTTCCTTCCTTCCTTCCTTCCTTCCTTCTTTCCTTCCTTCCCTTCTTTCTTTCTTTCTTTTTTTTTTTTTGGCAAAATCTATTTCCCCTTTCTGTACATATGTATTGTTGAGTTTGTGTTGTGTTCTTCTAAACCCTTCCTCTTCTGTCCCTAAACCTGAGTGTCTTCTCCAGGTGGCCAGGCATGGTAGAATCTGATCCTGACCTGGGGGAATATTTTCTTTTTGCTTCTCATCTTGATTCCCTGCCGGTGAGTTTTCCTGGCTCAGGCCAGAGTAATGAGCAAATCCGTCCTAACTGGTGTACAGAGTTAGACATAGCCAGCAGACATCAGCAGGAATAGACACTTACCTAGAGTGACAAAAACAGAAATAACTACCCACATATAGAAATAAATTTGTATCTGGGGCACCTGGGTGGCTCAGTGGGTTAAGCCTCTGCCTTCGGCTCGGGTCATGATCTCAGGATCTCAGGGTCTCTGCTCAGCAGGGAGCCTGCTTCCCCCTCTCTCTCTGCCTGCCTCTCTGCCTACTTGTGATCTCTCTCTGTCAAATAGATAAATAAAATCTTAAAAAAAAAAGAAATAAACTTGTATCTGATTAAATATTTAACCATTAGGGTGCCTGGTGGGCTCAGTTGTTAAGCGTCTGCCTTATGGCTCAGGTCATGATCCCAGGGTCCTGGGATGGAGCCCCGCATCAGGCTCCCTGCTCAGTGGGGAGCCTGCTTCTCCCTCACCTACTCCCCCTGCTTGTGTTCCCTCTCTCGCTGTGTCTCTCTCTGTCAAATAAATAAAAATCTTTATAAAAAAATAAATATTTAACCATTACTAGGACATTTATGGTTCTGATAAATGTGCTTTGGTTAGGATTTCTGAGGTCAGGCTGGAAGCAGCAGGCTGAGGTGGACTAGTTGGGTCAGGTTTATGGCATCAGAGGAGGACCACTACCTCCTTCCTTTTATGAATCCTCAGTTCTTCTACTACCTTTTCTGGCTAGAGGCCCAAAGCAAGGAGAAGGACTAGAGGCCATAAGAAAACCATTTTTTTTTTTTTTAATTTCAGTCTAAATACCACGTGACATTTTTTGGAGAAACAGTCTCTCGTGCCTGGATCCCAGTCAACATGCTGAAGAACTTCCAGGAGCTGTCCCTGGAGCTAGCCGGAATGGTAAAGCAACCCTTGGGGGTAACACAGGGAACCTGAAAACTGGATCTGTCCTTTATTTAACCTGATTTTCTCCCAGGGGAAGCTGTGTTGGGAGACAGTCCCACGTCTGATCAAGTGTGCAAGGGTCAAGTTGTTCATGAGGGACTCTTCTTTCTACCAGGGTTGCAACAGGATAATGATTTTTCTTAGTCTCCTTCCTTGCCTGCAGGCAGGGAGTCTCCCTGAAGAGGGCAGTTTTCTACAGTGTAGTCCAGTCAGGTGTGGCGGAAATGAGAGCACATATCAACTCAGGGTTTCTCAGCCTTGGTACCATTGACATTTGGGGCCTGATAATTTTTTGTTGTGGAGGCCTGTCTTATATATTTTAGCATGTTTAACAGCATCCCTGGGCTCTTCTGGCATCTAGCCAAGGGATGCTCCTGCCCCTGGCCTCAGTTGTGACCACCAAAAAACATTGTCTCTAGACATCACCAAATATCTTCTGGGAGGCAAAACCCTCCCCTGGTTGAGAACCAATGAATGAACTAAATAATGTTTCCTGCCTACAAGCTCTTTGGTTTCAACCAGCCTTAGAAATGAGCAGAGGTCCGGCAGCTCTGGGGGCTTTCAAAAATCAGGCAGTATTAAACCAAGCATCTGGATTTGAAGAAGTTTGTGAGAAGCTTAACAGTGGAATCACTTGAGCTCCTTTAATCTTGCCTCTCCAAATGTACATGGGATTTACTGTGGAGAGGACACCAAAATATTGGTTGACTGTATTGCTAGCAGTTGATAACAGGTTTGTTATGGGGAAATAAAGGGAGATTATGTCTCTAAGCTCAAAATATTAAGAATAGGAGTATCGTATCAATACCAGGAACTGGAAATAAACGTGTTTAAAGATCCTGTCTGGTGAGTAGCAGTATGTTGGAGTCAATTCTTTAATACTCATCATTGACTTTAATCTTCTTCTATTTCAGAAAAAGTGCAGGAACAAGGACTGCAACCAGAAGCTGGGAGCAGCCCTGTCGATGGCTCAAGAGGCAGAACAGATCAGTATTCAGGTGGGAGAACGTTCAGACCACACACCTGCTCCACTTTGGGACTTGGGACACAAAGCAAACCATATACTCTGTACTACAGAAAAGTGGCTTGTCTTTCCCCATCATCCAGTCTTAGTCTTAGAATTAGTCTTTGCTTCCCAGGTCAGATTCCCTTGACTCCTTAAATCACTTATTCTTTCCCCTACCCTTGGACAAATAGAATCTTCTCTCATCCCACAGAGAGACATTTTGTAGTAGGAGGCATCCTACCTCCCTATTTAACTTTAGATCTGATGAATGTGTCTTAACCTCTCTTTTAAAAATGCAGGGTCAATGTTCATCCTCAAATTCTTCCTTTGGGGGGTATGGTGGAGAATGACAGACTGGATTATTTTAAAAAGTGGAAAAAAGAGGTTATATTAATATAGCATATAACTATATAATATAAAAATGGAAAGATAATATTATAATATATTATAATAGTCGATCGTCACAGAAATTGAGATAAATAGAACACAAAATTTCAGGTAAAAATGGTATAGAATATGAATATAAAGTCCATAACTAAAGTCTTAAAGGCAGAGGGCAAAAATTATCCCCGGGAGATAGTGGTTGATGCTTTTGTTTCTTGGTTCCCTCAGGAACGGGTTAATTTGTTTGGTTTCCGGAGCCGATATAATGGATCTGACAGTAGTGGGGAAGGAAAAGGTAGGATCAGTAGGAGGATGAGGACTAGAGAGGGAGGTGAGGAGAGGACATAGAGAGGGAGGTCCTTCATGAGGGCAGCAACTGAACCTTTATTTTGTATCCAATGCCATCCACCTAGTTCTGGATTCTCTAATAGGAGGCTGTCCATGAATGCCATTGACCGAGTGTCCAGGGTGGATGGATGGATAGAGGGATGGGGGAAGAGAGGAATGGAGGGAAAAAGAGGGTGGGGAGGGAGGGTGCATGTTGAAGAGTGACGGGACTTTGGAAAAGGTGGAGCCGTGATACTCCAGGGCCATGTTTTATGGAGAAAAGACCACTGGGACATGAAAGGCAGAGTTAGAAGACTGCTTCTCTGGGATTAGCACTTTTAACTCATCATCTAGTTTATTGGATCAATTCTTTAGCCTTTCCTTCCTATTCCTGTTCTAGACTTAAGGCTCTCTGGGACTAGCAGCCCAGATTCCTGCCTGGAGAAAGAAGAGGAAGATTCAGAGTTGGAGGCAGAGGAGTTGGAGGAGGAGGAAGAGAAAAAAGTAAGATTGATCTTGGGGATGGCTTTTAGGAGATTCCTGTAAGACATCTGGTTGGCACGGGTTTCTATTTAGTAGGGAACCATCCTGTGCCTGCCTTAGGGTGGCGCTCACTAGCTGGTCTTATCTCTTAGGGGTCTTCAGGGAAGGAGACTCTCCTCTTTCCTCAGTTATTCTCTCTAATATCTCACATTTCCAGGAACTTATTTCTTATCATCTCAGATCTTTTTTTAAAAATATTTATTTATTTATTTGACACAGAGAGAGAGATCACAGGTAGGCAGAGAGAGAAGGGGAAGCAGGCTCCCCGCTGAGCAGAGAGCCCTCTGCAGGGCTCGATCCCAGGACCCTGAGACCATGACCTGAGCCGAAGGCAGAGGCCAAACCCTTTGAGCCACTGAGGCGCCCCATCATCTCAGATCTTAATGTAGTGGTTTGGTTCTTCCTGGAGCCATTTCAGAGAATAGCAGTTTGCCTCTCTTCACTCTCTGTCCTCCCTTGTGTGGACCCTTAATCTTAAGTGGCTTAATATTCATTCACTTGCCTCCTTATGCTTTTTTTTTAAACATATGAAATATAGATTTAAAAAATTTTTTAAAAAGATTTCTTTATTTGAGAGAAAGAGAGACTGTGTGTGTGTGTGGGACAGAGGGACAGAAAGAGAGGGAGAGAGAATCCCAAGCAGACCCCGTGCGGAGTGGGAGCCCAATGCAGGGCTTGATCTCATGACCCTGAGATCGTGACCTGAGCCAAAACCAAGAGTTGGATGCTTTAACTGACTGAGCCACCCAGGCACCCGAGCCTGAAATACAGATTTTTAAAAAGTACTTAAAAAGACTTTTTTATTTTTTTAAAAAAATATTTTATTTATTTATTTGACAGAGAGAGATCACAAGTAGGCAGAGAGGCAGGCAGAGAGAGAGGAGGAAGCAGGCTCTCCACTGAGCAGAGAGCCAGATGCGGGGCCTGATCCCAGGACCCTGGGATCATGACCTGAGCTGAAGGCAGAGGCTCAACCCACTGAGCCACCGAGGCGCCCCTTAAAAAGATTTTTTTAAAGGGTGGTTTTAGGTTCCCAGCAAAATTGAGAGAAAAGTACAGGGAGTTCCCATATGCCTCCTGCCTGTACACATGCATAGCCTTTCCCATTATCAACACTCCCAGCAGAGTGGTGTGTCTGTTTATTGATGAACCTACACTGGCACATTGTAATCACCCAAAGTCCATTGTTTACATTAGAGTTCAATCTTGCAGTTGTTATATTCTGTGGATTTGGACAAATATAGACAATATGTGTACATCACTGTAGCATCATACAGAATATTTTCACAGCCCTAAAAATCCTGTGTGCTCTACCTATTCACCCCTCTCCCTGCAACCCCTGACAATACCTGATCTTTTTATTGTCTCAGTAGTTTTGCCCTCTCAAGAACGTCATACAGCTGGAATCATACATGTATATCCTTTTCAGACTGGTTTCTGAGAAATATTCATTTAAGTTTCCTTTGTGTCTTTTCATGGTTGGATAGCTTGTATCTTTTTTTTTTCCTCTGAATTTTTCCATTTTCTGGATGTACCATGTTTATTTATCCATTCACTTACTGAAAGACATCTTTGTTGCTTCCAAATTTGGACAATTATGAATAAAGCTGCTATGGACAGCTGCATACAGGTTTTTGTGAGAACATAAGTTTTCAGCTCCTTTGGGTAAATACCAAGGAGCTTGATTGCTTGGATTGTATGGTAAGAGGATGCTTAGTTTTGTAAGAGAACAGACTGTCTTCCAAAGTGGCTATATCATTTTGCGTTCCTATCAGCACTGAATGAGATTTTTTTTTTTATTTGACTGAGAGAGAGATGAGAAGTAGGCAGAGAGGCAGGCAGAGAGAGAGGGGGGACGCAGGCTCCCCGCTGAGTAGAGAGCCCAATGTGGGGCTTGATACCAGGACCCTGAGATCATGACCTGAGTGGAAGGCAGTGGCTCAACCTACTGAGCCACCCAGGCGCCCCTGAATGAGATTTTTTGTTGTTTTACATCCTTGCTAGTATTTGGTGTTATCAGTCTTCCAGATGTTAGCCATTCTAATAGGTATGCAGTGGTATTTCATTGTTGTTTTAATTAATTTATTTATTTTTAAAGATTTTATTTATTTATTTGACAGAGAGAAAGATCACAAGTAGGCAGAGAGGCAGGCAGAGAGAGAGGGGGAAACAGGCTCCCTGCTGAGCAGAGAGCCTGATGTGGGGCTCTATACCAGGACCCTGGGATCATGACCTGAGCTGGAGGCAGAGGCTTTAACCCACTGAGCCACCCAGGCGCCCCTCATTGTTGTTTTAATTTGCATTTCCCTGATGACATGATCTGGAGCATCTTTTCATAATCCCAGTGGCCATATGTATATCTTCTTTGGTGATGTGCCCACTAAAGTGTTTGGTCCATTTATTTAATTGGGTTATTTTCTTTATTGTTGAGTTTTATGAGTTGTTTGTGTTTAGATAAGAGTCCTCAATCAAATGTGTCTTTCACCAATATTTTCTCCCTGTCGGTGGCTGGTTTTCTCATTCTCTTGACATTATCTTTTGCAGAACAGACGTTTTTAATTTTAATGAGGTTAGTCTATTAATTGTTTCTTTCTTGGATCATGCCTTTGGTGTTGTATATAAAAAGTCATTGCCATACCCAAGGTTATCTACCTTTTCTCCTATGTTATTTTCCAGGAGTTTTATAATTTTACATTAGATCTATAATACATTTTGAGTAAATTTTTGTGAAGGGTGTAAGGCTTATGTCTAGGTTCATTTTTTTGCATGTGGATGTCCGGTGTTTCAAGTGTATTTGTTGAAAAGACTGTCATTGCCTTTGCTCTCTTGTCAAAGATCAGCTGACTGTTTTTATGTGGGTCTATTTTGGGGCCCTCTATTCTGTCCCATTGACCCTTTTTTTTTTTTTTGCCAATTCTACATTGTCTTGATTACTGTCACTTTATAATAAGTCTTAAAGTTGGCTAGGGTCAGTCCTCCGGCTTTGTCCTTCTTCAATATTGTGTTGGCTATTCTGGGTCTTTTGTCTTTCCATATAACTGTAGAATCAGTTGTTGATACCTACAAAATAACTTGCTAGGATTTTGTTTGGAATTGCATTGACTCTATCAGGCTGGGAAACATTAACTGTTGACAATAATGAAGTTTTCCTATCCACAAACATGGAATTCTATTTAATTCTTTGATTTTATTAATGAGAATTTTTGTAATTTTACTCATATAGATCTTGCACATATTTTGTTAAAATTATACCTAAGTATTTAAATTTTTTGGTGCTACTATAAGTGGTATTGTGTTTTTAATGTCAAATTCCACTTGTTCATTGCTGGTATATAAGAAAGTGATAGACTTTTATATATGAACATGCAGTCTACTATTAACATTTGTTAGTTCTGGAGTTTTTGTTGATTCTCTTGGATTTTCCTATTTGGTGATTATGTTATCTGCAAACAAAGACAGTTTTACAGTTGATCCTTGAACAGGTTTGAACTATGTGGGTCCACTTATAGGTGGATTTTCCCCCCATAAATATAGTGCAGTATTGTAAATACATTGTCTCTTCCTTATGATTTGAATATTTTCTTTTCTCCACCTTTATTGTGAGAATACGGCGTATAATACATATAATGTACAAAATACATGTGAATCATCTGTGTTATTGGTAAGGCTTCCAGTCAAGAGTAGGCTATTAGTAGTTAAGTTTTGGGGGAGTCAAAAGTTATGTACAAATTTTCCACTGTTTGAGGGGTCAGTACCCCTAACCCCTGCCTTGTTTAAGGGTCAACTGTATTTCTTCCCAATATCTATATCTTTTATTTCTTTTTGTCTAACTACATTACTTAGAACTTCCAATATGATGTTGAAAAGGATTGGTGAGAGGGAACATCCTTCCTTTGTTCCTGATCTTAGGGGGAAGTCTTCTAGTTTCTCAGCATTAAGTATGATATTAGTTTTAGGTTTTTTTTTTTAAAGATTTTTATTTATTTATTTGACAGAGAGAGAGAGAGAGAGTGAAAGAGATCACAAGTAGGCAGAGAGGCAGGCAGAGAGAAAGGGGGAAGCAGACTCCCTGCTGAGCAGAGAGCCTTATAGGGGGCTTGATCCCAGGACCCCGAGACCATGACCCTAGCCGAAGGCACAGGCTCAACCCACTGAGCCACCCAGGCTCCCCCAGTTTTAGTTTTTTTGTAGATGTTCTTTGTCAAGTTGAGGAAGTTACCCTCTCTTGTTTACTGAGAGTTTCGATCATGAATGGGTGTTGGATTTTGTCAAACACTTTTTCTATATCTATTGTTATTATGATCATGTGATTTTTCTTATTTAGCCCACTAATGTGATGGATTACATTCATTGATTTTCAAATGTCAGACAAGTCTTGCATGCATTGAATAAATCCCATTTGTTCACGGTATATACTTCTGTTTGTACATTGTTGGATTTAATTTAGTAATATTTTGTTGAGGATTTTTGTATCTCTTTTCATAAGATACATTGGTCCGTGGTTTTCTTGTAATGTCTTTGTCTGGTTTTGGTATTCAGGTAATGGTGGCCTCATAGAATTAGGAAGTATTGTCTGCTTCTTTTCTCTGAAAGAGGTTATGGAGAATAGGCATAATTTCTTCCCTAAATGTTTGGTGGAATTCACCAGTGAACCCATAAGTCTGGTGCTTTCTGTTTTGGAAGGTTGACTACTAGTTACTGATTCAATTTTGTTAATAGATATAAACCTATTCAGATTGTCTGTTTCTTTTTGTGTGAATTTAGACAGATTATATCTTTTAAGGAATTGGTCCATTTCCTCCTGGTTATCAAATTTGTTTGCATAGAATTATTTGTAGTATTCCTTTATTATCCTTTTAATGTTCATGGACTCTGTAGTATATTTTCCAATATTAGTAATTTGTTTCCTCTCTCTCTTTTTCTTAGTTTGACTAGAGGCTTATCAGTTCTTTTTTTTTTAA